CACATTAAATGAGTGGCGAACCCTAGCTTCCATCAATAACAGTAGTATTTTTCTCCCAGTGCTACACAGGTTCTTCTTGTGTTCTTTAAACCTGTCGCTTTCCCTAGTAAATACTGTGGAGAAGAATGCATTTAACACTTTGACCATCTCCCTTTCATTTTTAAATCAACCTCCTATTCTCATCCTTTATGGGACCCACCTGTTCCTTTCTTACCTTTTTATTAGTTATGTATTGAAATTAAAAAAAAATTTCGTTTGCTAACTGTGGCAATCATTTTTTTATATTTTATCTTAGCTGCCCGGATTTAACTTTTACATTTTCTATTGCATTCCTTGTAGTTATGGAAGGCCAGTGCTGTCCTTTCCATTTTAAATGCCTGTTTCTTCTTATTGTTTACATTCTGATTCAGACAGGCAGATTTAGCTGTTATTTTTATATTTTTGTTGCCCAATGGTATGCACTGGCTAATGCTATTGTTTAGTATTGGGCTCAAAATTTCCACTCGCCTGCTCGAATTTGGAGAGTCACAGACCGCAAGCCTCACATGTGGGAGCAGCTGCTCCTGGCCGGGCTGTCTGTGCTTTCAGCTGCAGCTCTTCACTGAACTCCGGCTGAAAACGAAGTGATTAGTAAGGTCTGCAGCAGACCTTACTAATCACCACTAGATCACCAGGGATTGTGCCTGCTCGCCTCCTCCCTGCAGAAAGGCAAGCAAAGGGGGGCATTGTTTTATTTTACATGATGTGGGGGGGAGGGAGGGGGCAGGGAACAGTGGGACTTCTCTGTGTCATTACCCATATCAGCCCTCCCCTTCAAGTTATCGGACCAATCCCTGCTGACCCTGTTTCAAGTCCTCCTTTGCATGGCCACACATATCAGCCCTCCCCTTCAAGTTATCGGACCAATCCCTGCTGACTCTGCTTCAAGCCTTCATTTGCATGACCAATAGGAAGGTGTTGGTTTGGGCGGGTTGTTCAAACTGTTGTGTATAAAAGTGTGTGTGTGCATTCAATAAAGCAGATCCCTGTTGGAACTTACATACAGCCTGCCTGGTGTTTGTTCTGAGCTGGATTCGAACGGCACATAGCTGTAGTTCGAATCCCGGATTATCTGACGATCGAAGGATCAGACGTTGAGGTCTGACATCTGATTCATTAGTAGCAGAGGAGTGCCGGGAGAGTGGAACCGAGCGAGCAGGGGCTCGTTACACTCAGGAAATTAAATTTTGACCCTCGGCCTTGTATAACCTTAAAGCAACCCCACTTCATCTCCTTTTTAAAGTTTAGTGTTGTCACTTGTCGCTGTTACCCAAGTTTCCCTGAGTTGCTTTGTTTGCAATCAGCTCTGTATTATTTGATATTATTAGATCTGGGGATTATTAGATCTGGGACTTCTACCATCTGTTCCATGTAAACATATATTCTAGGACTAACTTATGTAGCTGCATCATCTTCTGTGTATGGTGAGCGAGTTGTTCCAACAACTGTAGAAAGCAGGGATCTTTCAAGTCTTAATTGGAGTTCTGCAGGGATGCACATGTGGCCTCTACGTCAGGGCAGGCAGTGGTAATGCATTTCTTTGGCACCAAGTAAAGATATGCCATTATCAGTTGAGAGGGAAATTGTGCAGTTGAGGTTCCCAAATTTGTAAGTTCTACTGAGACTCTTCCCCACTGTACTATAGACAGAGTCTTGGCCCCAATCCACTTGCCTTTTAGTTCAAGGTTGCGTGTTGACTCTATTGTGACAGTGGTTTCTTGTAGTTTTCATCTAACTCCCACCAGAAGTGGACACACAATCTCTTGCAAGGGGAGGTATAGTCAACCAATGGCAAGGTGGAACCCTTTTAGTCTTTTGGTTATTCTGCATCTGGTGGATGTGACAGGAGTCAGGAAGTCTTTGTAGTTGACCCTGTGACAGTCAGCTCACAAAGGGTTTTTTTTTTTTTTTTAGTAGACACCTCCTTAAGTAGTCATGCAATATCTAATTCCCCCAGGGCATTCATTACACTGAAACGTTTTGGGAAGCAGTATTTTGGGCCACTACTGCCCCAATGAGCTCAATAGTCTGTTCAAAGACCTGAATGGTCATCCAACCTACCAATCCAATCCTACCACCAGGATAGGCAGATTATTGTCAGCTTTCAGATTAAACCATGAGTTATCCAAAGTCGGTGACTGTTTGTAGTGCAACTTATAAAAGGCATAGTCTTATCGTATACAGGTTAAACACAGAGGGAGAAGGGGTTATGTACAGGTCACATACACTGGTGTTTACTTATGTAAAATGGGGAGAGTATCTGGTTAAAGGGACCAGATGAGACAATATTTCTTTCGGATTTTCTGTTTTTAATATTGAAGAATTGTCACAATTCTCAACTTACCTGTATCAATCGCGGGGGTTCTCGCACTCGCAGCATGTCGGTAATTGGCACTCTTGTCAGTGAGTTGTTTCCTATAACTTCCTCGTGTTAAAATAGTGAGGCCTCTTGCACATATTTAATGGCATCCTTACATCAAAATGGCAGCACTGGAGTACTTCCTGTTATAGACAGGATCCACATCCCTTCTGCCACACCTCCTGACATCACTTCCTGTTTGATCACTATAAAGCTGCAAGGTTGCAGAGAGAAAGTGCTCAGCTGTTTCAGAGCTATCCACAGTGTGTTCCAGTTGCTAGCCATGTAATTCCGTTACCTGACCTGTGCTTCGTTTATCAAGTTTGATCCTTTGCTGCTTGTCCTGAACTTATGCTTCATTTGACTATGATTATTGGAATTACCTTTTGTACCACGTATTTGGAATCTGTGCCTGATTCTTCTCCTGCGTACGCTATCCCAATGTGTGTGCCCCTGCTATTGGGCTCTGCATATCCAATTACTGAGATTTTTCAACCATATTGAAAAATATGGCACTTTCTCAGTTCTGGCACAGGGCAGTTCAATCAGGCAGATCTTACAGGTGACAGTGTGTTTAACCCCTTTGTGACTGACAGTGTACGTCTCCAGCATCGGGGCTGTTTAAACAGACTCTGGTTAAACTTCTATAGTCCCGTGAAGCGGCCGCCCGACACCCCCTCCTACGGGCCCGGGGCTGGCTTCGGTGGTGTCTGCGGGGAGCTGGGGAAGAGATGGACGAACCTCCATTCATCGATCCCCTCCCCGTTCTATGGGATTTAGCAATCAAAGTAAAGTTTAAAAAAAAAAAGTTTTTAAAATTAAATAAAATAAATCTAAAAATAATTTGTTAGAAATGTTTAAAGTCCCCCGCCACTGCGAGCATGCGTGTCGCCACGTAAACACGCGTCGGGTGCTTCTATGTATGAAAACGACGAACGCGCTATCGCAGTGGGTATCGCAGCGCACGCCGGAGTGAGAGCAATAATTCTAGAGCCAGTATTTTTGGGTATCTCTAAATTGATGACCTGTGGGGGCTTTCAAAGCGTTGTCTATGGACTTTTTGGGGTAGTGACGTTTGTTGCCATTTCACGGAAGCACACAATTTTTAACCTTGGCATGTTGGGTATCTATTTACTCGTTGTAACCTCATCTTTTATATTGTATTTAAAAAATTGGTATTTTATCGTGTTTTGGGGCATTTAAGTACATTTTTTACTAAATATTGGGGTTTGATAAGAAGTTGCGCTAATATCGTGCAACATAAACATTTGTATATGCAAACATTTTATTCTATACGGTCTTGGCTTTCAGAAAATATATAATTTTTGGGGGTTTTAAGTAATTTCCAGGCCTAAAATATGGAATATAACCTGGGTGCAAAAAATTAAAAAAAAGGCCTCAGTCATGAAGGGGTTAAGGAGTTCTATTTAAAGCGGTACCTTTTGCTGCCATAAAGTGACCTCACCACAGGGTGCTGCGCTGGAGATACAGAATGCAAGAATGCACCAAACCATATACAGGGTGGAACAGGGTCCTTCCCAACACTTGCAGTAGTCTCCAGGAATATTCTGTTCTGTCCTTGCTAATCTGGAACCTTTCCCTGCACTAGGGCTATCTCTACCTAGCCAGTGTGTGATGAAATCAAGTGATATTAAAGTGACACTAAACTCAGGATTTCAATCTTAAAAAAAGCATTCAAGTACCTTACTTATTAACATAAATTTAGCTTATTTGTGTATCGCTCAACTGTAAATCCTCAAATCATCTCTGAATTCATGCTGACGAATCTCGTTTAGTTTACTAATTTGTATTGAGATTGTAGTACATCACAGGAGTGAGCTTGGAGTAGTGGCTGCTTTACAACAGACACAGGGAACAAGGGGAACAAACGTTGCACCCTCCAGAAGGAAGGACAGTGTTGTGACAGACCTAGGGCTGCAGAGATTTATTGCCCTGGAGAACTTTGTTTGCTTTGTGTGTTTTCCTGTTTAATATTTTATCTAGAGAGAGAGAGCAGGTCACTATTTGACTTGATTTGAACCATCCGGGCTTCCATCTTGTTTGGATATCATCTCTGCTAAATGTAATTTTGTGAAGGCAGCAGGCTCTCTGGAGTGGCCATTGTTTAGGTTGATGTGATCAAGCTCTCATCTAATTAAGGAATTCCAATGTGGCACCCGGCTGTCTAGGGGTGGGAACTGTTCAATGTAACACACTAAACTCTGTGTGCTTTCTTCAATAAACCAGTTCATGTTTCCACTACAAAGTCAATGTTGCCTGATTCTTGGGGTAAGCCCATGCTATATTCACTTGCTTCTGGTTCCAGCACCCAGGGAACATATCCAGTCGGGGTATCAGGGAGTCCGTCACAAATGTCAGCATGAATTCAGCGATGTCTTCAAAGGAGTGACCTTTTTTCCTTTAGATGTAGGTATACTGCCGAATCCTGACCAGAGGGTTTTGCTCTTCTAAGCTGTGCCATATGCTAGTGTAGCTGCTGTTTTGTTTCACCGACATACAATTCTGATCACTCCTCACTGCACTGAACTGCATACACAATGTTGTTCATGGTTTAAAGCAGACAGGGATGTGATGTTTTTTTAAAAACCCTTCTGAGTTTCTCAGACACCCCAGCTACATACGGGATGACCAAATTCTTCCGTTTGTCATGCTTTTCACCCTCACTGGTATTCTCTGCATTCTTTCCTCTCCTTTTTTCTGTATTGACCAAAGCCCAGTCTGGATACCCGCAAGTTTTAAGAGGCCCCCTGAGGTGTTTGAATTCCTTTATCTTGGCCTCTGTTCTGGTGGGAATTTTCTCTGCCTGGTGGTGTAGAGTTCTGATGACTCCCAATTTGTGGTCTAAAGGGTGGTGGGAGTAAAATAGCAGGTACTGGTCCGTGTGTGTTGGTTTTCGGTAGACCTCTATTTCCACCCTCCTTCCCTCTTCTAATGTTACTAAACAATCCAAAAAACCCAGTTTTATGTTTTGCATATCTTCCAGCGTAAACTTGATGTTATGTGAGTTGATATGGTCAGTGAAAGCCTGTAACTCTTGTTTGTGAATCTTAACCCAAGTCTCATCCACATATCTGAACCAATGCCTGGGTGTAATTCCCTTGAAGGTGATCAGGGCCTCTTCCTTTATTCCTTTGTGAATCTTCCTTTATCAGTAGGCAGGATGGTGATACTCTTGTCTTTCTTCAGGGATGTGATCACCCTCCTTACTTGTGTAGTCAGGTTTGACGGAGGTGGTTTGGCACTGGCCAGGGCTACAGACACTTTTAGGCGAAGTTGTTCAGCCTCACCCTGTGACACTTTGTTACTGTGGATCGAGGCCTCAGTGGCTAAGATAATATCCACTACAGGGATGGCTCTTGGTGTGATTGTGAAATTCAACCCTTTAGCAAGGACATCCATCTCGGGCTGGGTGAGAACCCTGTCTGAAAGGTTCTCCACCCATTCCTCTTTGTTCTGCAATTTACCCCTTTTCTCCTTCTCCCTCCAAGTTATTTCCTCCCTAGTATGGCTGTTTCCAGTTCGGGATAACAAAATGGAGAACTTCTTCTTCTGTTGCCTCTTCTTGCCCTTAGTGTGTTGAGCTAGCTGTGCTTGTACCATGAAATCTGTTACTGTCCTCCAAATATCAGCAGGTAGCTGAAAAATCAGGTTCCCTTCTAGTTGATTGATAATATGTTTTAAGGCATCAACTGTGAAATGGGTCTGCCATACACGTTCATTTAGCAATTGTTTCTGGGCCTTATGTAGTATCATATAATTTTTTGTACAAGTCATTCTGAATTGAGAAAGCCGGTTGGATAACCAGTGAAACGTCTTCAAGAAGAATACAGCAAGTCCAGTTGCCTTGACTTTTTTATTTTTACAGATAGAGCTGAGTGATCCACAAATAAACTACATTTTTGTTAATAGTTAAGGTACTTGAATACATTTTTAACAGATGTAATGATATTTTTTTTATATCTGATATGTAATTCATAATTTCCTGTCAGCTCCATGTCAGCACACAATGTGTTAATCCCACTCTCCTCTCCTTTAACAGGATTGTAACTAATAAATTCGACCCCTCCCCAAGTGCTCACTTTCCTTTATGACCCTCAATATATTAGGTCCCTCAATTAGTGCCCAAGGTAATAGCAAGGAGAGGACACAGCATAAGAAGGAGTTTGGTATGGTGAGGCCTCAGGACAACCTCCTGAAATCCTCCAGAGATCCTCCCACTCTGGACGCCGCCGGTACGCGTGGGGCCGTTTTCCAGCCATTCAGTGGAACGACCCCACGCATACCGGTGGGCACTAATTGAGAGACCATACCACTACTACCCCTTCTGCACAGCCTCTGATTCAGGCCTCCTTCACTCTGGGAATACGCCCGGCGTTCTGGTGTGCGCACTTGTTGACTCCACACTGAGGGGATCACCTCCTCCTCCTGATGAAGCGCCTATTGGCGCGAAACACGTTGAGCATTGTGTTATCACCCACTAATTTGGTTCCAATCAGAGGTTTTCACCAATATGTAATGGATTGTCTTCTCTTTTGATTTGTGCATGTCCTTCCATTGTATTTATTAGAACAATCATGTTATCATATCCTCTATCATGCCTAATATAACCTCGATCTTGGAACATAGTGGGTGTTAGGAGGTTTTCTCTCTCTCTCTCTCTCTCTCTCTCTCTCTCTTTTGTGTTTCTTTTTTAAACAATATATCATCAATTTGATGTTTTTTATAAAAACTTTTTGTATAATAAATAATCTATATCAAAATCTCTTTTTGGAGCTTATTGGCCTTGTCAATTGGCGCTAAAAACCCCCATCTTTTCCTTTCTTTTTTGCTATTGTTACTTGCCAGGGGTTGGCACCTGATTACTCAGGATCTGTGCACCACAACAAATGTATTCTAATTGGTTATAGTCTTGCACCTAAACGGCCCAATTCTGTATGTTTTGCCGGCATCTGTCAAAATGCCATTATGTGGCGGGAGTTGGCAGGGAGCGGATGGGATTTAAAAAAAATAATTTCTATTTATTTTTTATTGTTTTATTTCATCGTTGTCGTGGACAATGCTGGACGTTGTGATTGACCATGGATTAGGTCGCTGGATCCATTTTTTGGGTTTTTGTTTTAAATAAAAGACTTGTCAAAAACATGTCTTTTGGTTTTTTTCCAATTAAAGGATTTTAACAAAAGTCTGGACTTTTCAATAACTATTTTATTTAACCCTTTAGTGAATGGGTAGGGGTACAAGTACCCCTTACTCATTCACAAGGGAGGGGGGCAGCATCTGGGTGCCCCCTTAATTAAAGGGGTACCCCAATGCAAATAAGCCCCCTTGCCTGCAGACCCCCACAACCACCGGGTCCCAGTGCCGAGGGCATGTGGCCTGGTGTGGGAGGGAAGGGGGGTGGCGCTCGCTCGTTCCAGCCCTGCCAGGCCTATTCTCAGATCAAGGGTCTGGTATGGAATTTTAGGAGGGACCCCAAGTTTCCCCCCCCCATTTTTGGGGGTGGGGTTCCTCCTTAAAATTCCTACCAGACCTTAAGGGCCTGATGACTTTAAGGGGGAACCCCACACACTTTTTTTTCACATGGGGTCCCTTCTCACTATTCCTACTAGACCTTAAGGGCCTGGTATGACTTTTAGGGGGATCCTCACACTTTTTTTTTGTTTTCTTTTACACGGTGGTCCTCCCAAATATTCCTTCCAGACCTTAAGGGTCTGGTATGACTTTTAGGGGGAACCCTACGCTTTTTTTAAAAAAAAATGGTCCCTCCTAACATTCCTACCAGACCTAAAGGGTCTTGTATTGTTTGGGAGGGGGAACTGCACACTTTAAAAGTAAAAAAAAAAAAAGGAATTTTTTTTTTTGTTAGAAATGTCAGTTTTGCTGCAGCAGGTTCTATACATCCTACAGATCCGCCACTTCATAGGCCGGTTAAGGGGACCCCCTAGGCATGATATTTGAAGGAATTTTTCATTTTTATTCCTACCCTTTAAATCCCCCAGGGCAGTACCCGGACCCCCATACACCTTTTATGGCCAATAACTTGCATATAAGCATTCTTAAAGGGGACAATTATTTTCGAAAGTTCAACCCCCATTGACTTGCATTAGGTACGAGTTCGTATTTTGGCCGTTCGGGTTTTCGAATACGAACCGAATACGAGGGTGCTCGGCCCATCACTACTGACGACAGCAGTGGTGGAAGATCTCAGTAAATCTGAGATTTTCGATATCCTCAAGAACATCAACCTGTCATCCGCGTTTTTCGCTGAAGCCTCCGTTGACATGATAAAATCATTGTCCCGGGTGATGAAGGCAGCTGTTACCGGTAGATGGGCCCTCTGGCTCAGACCATGTGTGGCGGACCCATCTTCGAAGTAGGGGTGGTCTAAGATACCTTTTTAAGGCCCATACCTATTTGGAAATAAGCTTGATACTGCCATTGCAAAAGCTACTGGCGTTAAGTCAGGATTTATTCCTCAATCTCGGAGGCTAATGAGCCAAAAGAATGCCTTTTTCTGGAAAACTTTGCAGGATCAGAATGAGGAAGCAAGAAGTTAGGAATATCGAGCGGCGTTTCAGGCTTTTATGGCCTTCCGAGAGCTGATTCGCGGGCAGGCAGTCTTACTTCAGATGGACAATTTAACGGCTGTAGCGTATGTGAAGAGACAGGCACTCGGAGTCAGTCCCTACTTTGAGAGGGAGCACCAATCCTGTATTGGGCCCAAAGCAATCTTCTCCACTTATCGGCTCTGTACATTCCCAGTGTTCAGAACTATCAGGCGGATTTTCTGTCAAGGGTGGACTTCGACAACAACGAGTGGTCTCTGCACCTACGAGTGTTTCAGGAACTGACGGAATGGGCTTTTCTGCCAGAGGTAGACCTTTTTGCCTCGTCCACCAACACAAAGTTGGAGAGGCATGCCTGGATATCGCCTTGGACCTTCCGGACGGCTTATGCTTTCCCTCCTGTTCCTTTGACCCTGAAATTTTTGAAGAGGCTGAGGTTGGAGAAGGTATGGATACTGGCAGTGCTCCCAGACTGGCCCAAGAGGCCAAGGCATCCCCTCCGCCAGCTGGCGGTGGGACCATCGCTTCCTATTCCACGGGTACAGAACCTTCTCTCCCAAGGTCCGATTCCCCATTCAGCCCCGGAGAGGCTTTGCCTGATGGCATGGATATTGAAAGGTGCCTGCTCCAGGAGTTAGGCTGCTCGGTGAAAGTGGTTGACACTTTGTTGCTTTCAAGAAAAGCCACTACTAACAAAATATAACAGAATTTGGCTTAAGTTTCAGGACTTTTCTTCCACTGAAGGTTTTTCGTCTGTGGCGCCTCGAGTGATTCATGTTCTAGAATTTCTACAGGAAGGGCTTAGATATGGACTTGAGCCTAGCAACACTTAAAAGTCACGGATCAGCCATCTCGGCCTTCACGGGTGTACAGTGGGCATCTGAGTCTCTAATTGTACAATTTTTCAAAGCAGTTATATGGATGAGACCACCTAGAAAGCTTCTCTTTCCAAAGTGGGACCTTCCATTAGTACTTGACTATTTGGCTTTGGAAAAATTCACAGAAGAGACTTCTCTTTGGCTGCTAACACTGAAAACGGCCTTTTTGATTGCTGTAACCTCTGGCAGGAGGGTCTCAGAAGTTGCGGCTTTGGGTTATAAAGAACCATTTAGCACCTTCTTGCCGGATAGAGTAGATTCTAATACCAATGTTGGGGTTTGTCCCTAAAGTGGCATCCAATTCTCATTTCAAACAGGAAATTGTGTTGCCGTCTTTTCTCTTGGAGGATTCTGCAAGCTTGCACCGACTGGATGTTGGAAGTACGCAGAGGGCGTACATTGATGCTACATCCACCCTCAGGTCCACGTACCACATCTTTATTGTGCCGGCTGGACCCAGGAAAGGTTCTAAAGCTTCCGGCCGCCTCATTGCATCTTGGATGGTGAAGACTATTGATTTGGCTTATTCAGCTAAGGGTTTGGCAACACCAAAGGACGTGATGATACATTCACAAGGAGTATTTCTACATCATGGGCGGCAGCTCATGGCATTCCTCTGGAAACTATCTGCAAAGTAGCCACTTGGTGCATACATTTTTGGCGCACTATTGTGTTGAGCCTGTGGCTCTAACCACTGTTGATTTTAGGCGAAAAATTATTGCCTCAGCTTCTGTGGGTAATTAAAATATTCAGCATTCCCTCCCTGTGCAAGTTATTTACCATTGTGTGCTGACATGGAGCTGACAGGAAAACCGTTTTTTGAGTCTTTCAGGCATTGGTAGGAATACATACAAGTAAAAATATCCTTCTGGCCTCAACAAATTTTTATTGATCAATGGTGTCCATTTATCTTGGTGCTTCTGGGGAAACTGCTTTAAATTTGCAGACACTTTTAGGATTTGAACATTCATCAAAAAGCACGAGCTGCACTTCTCAAATAAATGGTTTAAAAGTAATTTCAAAATTAAAAACCATTGATCGCGCTCTCTTTGCTAAAAATGGCAACATTTCAGTGTCAAAAACAGTCTTGGTGCATACATTTATTGCGCACTATTGTGTTGAGCCTGTGGCTCTAACCACTGTTGATTTTAGGCGA